TCGTGCGCTGGCAAATGCCGCAAAGCCCTTTTTGCACAACACCTCCCCGCGTTCTCCAAAAAAAAAAAAAAAATGAACACTCTTCAACTGCGATCTATCCTTTGCCCCGGGCGCCCCCGTCTTTCAGACAAGACGCCGGAGATAAACAAAAATTGGGCACCACCCCACGCCAACCCACCGCATAAGTACTATGTTTGGCTCGTCTGTTTTCCCTTCATCTTGGACAGCAATAATTCCATCGGAGAGACGCCGCGAAATATTATTGCTGTCCGTTCCCCCCGCTTGTAGTGCGTTTCGCGGCCGTCGAACGCCAAGGGGGCTCCTTCCAATAAAACATTTCCACGTATCCGCTCAATGTGCTCTTTGTCATCCTCCAACCAGTCCGTGCTGTGTTCCCACTCGTATCTTGCTGCCCCAATCATGATGTAGATGGCGCGCGGCGCAAGCAAGAGCTCCACCCTCTCGCCAGGGTGCTTTGGATGCGTCAGCGCCATCACGCGCGCAGACCCAAGGCAAAGCCCAGCTATGATACCGCTGGAGTTGCGGCTTTCATCCACATGAGCACGAATAAAACCGTTGCTACCCATTCGAAGAAAGTGCACCCGATCATCCAGAGGGATGTTGGTAAGGTGCTCAGCAGCTATCCCGCGGCATCTCTTGAGTGCCGCGCGTGCAAGGGAAACGGCTTCTTTATCGCACTCAGAAAAGCCGCGGGCTTCCGCGTCAACCGCCGCTCCTTCCATCAATTCATTATAAGAGCGGTAAAATTCCTTGAAGTGATGAATCAAGGAATCCACGTGACCATCGCTGTAAGGAAGGCGGGAGAACCACGGCTCAGTGAGGTTGAGGAGGGCCCGCTCCTCCCCCTCACTGATCACGTCAGGTAGAACAAACGCAGGGACAGAGTCCGGTGGAATGAGTTTGGTGGGCACGCCAATCACCTCACGCGGTTGCGCTTGCCGAAAAGACGGTGCGTACCGAAGTGATACATACCGGGTGAGTTTCTCACGCAATACGCGTGCCGTTTTCATCGCTATACCGTCCACCGCCGCTCCCCGTTTTTCTCCTTTTGCCAATAATGTTTTTGGTCCTTCGTTAAACTTTGTTTTGTCTCTTCTTGTATAGGAAACTTCAGCAAAAGAGACACTCCCCCCCCTCAGAGGCATACGAGGCCTATGCATGTGCGCGTATCTGGGGCACACGCGAGTGATTAAGCAACGACGCAAACCCATTTTCGCAAATGAGAGTTGTTCATTCATTCACACGCACACACACACACACACACACACACATGTAGANATATATATATATATATATATATGTATGCCCACTAAAACTCTTCCCAACAGTCATCCGTGAAAAATCCCTGTAGAAACTGCAATAGACAACTCTCTTTGATCGCTGGACTCCGCATACGCATGCAAGAGGGACCCCAATGTCTGGTCGGGCGTTGGTATGAAGCCTTCCGACCCGCGCATAACAAACAAGTAAAGCACAGGGCGCTTCAACTTCTTCTTGATGCGAGCCTGCACCTGACCCAGTGTTTCACTAGGATCGCAGTTCATGTTGGGCAGCGTCTCCGTTATGCCTGCCTTGGGCGAGAGGCGCAGTGTGATTTTGTTGCCCACCGCGCCCTCGGACATGACGGGCAAAGCTACAAGCGGAAACCCCCCGCCGCCGCCACCGCCACTCACCTCGCAACTAGAGGTCGCCCGCAAACACTTTATAATAAGAAAGGAAACGAAGAACGACAAAAACAAAAACAACAACAACAAAGACATATGGGAGGGAATAAAGAATCATGGAATGACAACAAGGAGAGAACAGAACGCAGCAACAAACGCGCCAACGGGTAGAACGGCAAGAGTTTTGCTCGTGCGTCCGCCACCTCATCTCCAACGAAAGACGATGCAGAAAAGGTAAATATATAAGCGCGTACATACACACTCACATACGCACAAATAACAAAACACACACACACACACACACACGTGAAAGCTGCAAATAGGTTTTACGGTGACCACTGCTCCTCCTTAGCGTGGATGGCACGCCCCCGCCGTAGTATGACGGTCGGTCGGCCTTTCTGGTGCCTTCCTGTCGCCGCAGCGACAAGATGACCGCACATTCGGTTGTCACTCCTTCTCATTGTCGCCGTTTCCCCGTTCATGTTGTCCTCCCTGCGCTGGTGGCGCGTCGCCCGCCGCCTCCCCCACACGCGCCGCACCGCCACTAGGCAACCCATCGTCCCCGTCCTCATCCCCATCCCCGTCCTCTTCTTCTTCGTCTTTCTCCATCTCTCCCATCATGTCGTCGTCGTCGTCCATCATCATTGCTTGGTCGACAACTGCAGTGGCGCCATCCCCGGCGGCTGCAGCCTCGCTCGCCACAGCGGGCCCCGCGACCTCCAGCGGCAGTACTCCACGCGCTGTCCCTGAAAACGGATTCACACACCCCACCAAAGCACCAAACTCCCCTCCAAGGGAGTACATGATTTGATCCCACAAGCATTCGCGGCGCCGTAGAATTTGATCCGGGGGAAACACCTGCGGCGGTGACACATCCACACCGTACCGCCGTTCACGCACTCTTCGTCTCTCTTCAAGTTCTTCCTTACTTGGAAAACACTCCACCTTCCCAGTTTCCGGCACTAATGGGAAAGGCCCAAAGAACTTTGGGGAGAGTTTCACAGGAATCCAATGACCATTCGCAACCTCGGTCTCAAGCTGCTGGGTGGGCCACCGCATGCTGCCCCAGTACACCCGGAGAGAGGAGCGCGGCTTGCCCGGCACCAGCTGGGCCAAATACGGTAGTGCCTCCACCTTGGACAGGTAGAGCGTAGGCTCTACAGTGCCGTCAGCCAAGACCCCGCCACGGATAAGAGGCTTGCAAAGCAAGCAATGATGCTCTGCAAGGGACTCTGTCGCCTTGGACGTTGGCTTGTTCTCCTTCCACTTGAGCCAGGCAAGGTATTGAGGAGACTCTGGCTCTGTAGGTGGTTCTGTTGTGTGCAGGACGCTTATCTGAGCGGTGGGGGGCATCGTGAAACCAATCTGCGAGAAACCTCCATCATACACCTCATGACCCCAAAAAACTTCAGGAAACATGGGGTTCCCTCTAGACAATGGGTACGTGAACATCATGTCTAGCACCACCGCGGTGGTGATGTGGGGGTTGCGCTCTGTGATGAGCAGCACGCGGCGATCGAAGTGCGTTGAGGAGAGCGGATGGGCGACCAAAGCGACACCCTCCGCGAGGTCCACCGTGCGTGTTTGTCGCAGAACAACCTTTGTGGGAACAGAAAACGCCGATCCACTAATAGGGACGTACTTGGGACCGTTGTCCACATTGCATGCAAGTGTCTCAGCGCGGTACAACCCTGTTTTGGGCTGCGATGCCTTCATTGTACTGAGCAACGGGGCATGATCCTTCATAAACACAGGTATCTTCGCGGTTACCTTTTCGTTGTGTGTTCGAAGGCGCGTCAGAGTGTCGAAGGCAAGGTTTACTCTCGCCGGCGGCATCGTTCCGCGGAACGCATCGCGCAGGACCTCCATGTACTTTACACCGTTCGGGACGTAGAGAGGTCCGTGGCTCTTGGTGATGTCCTGCAGCTCCTTCGTCAGCGGGAAGAGTGTCTTTGACACGGGGGAGTCGTCCAGCTTTTTCACCTCCCGGAGCAGCATGCGGTAAAGCGACCGCACCACACCAGGCGCCAGCACTGGAGAGTTGCTTGCGGGCGACCTGCTGTCTGCTGCAATGACTCGCAGCGCCACGCTCCGTCGCAGCATACCTGGCAACAACCTTTTCAAGGACACTTTGTTTTGTTGTTTAAAAAAAAAAAAGAATCGGGCAAGGCCAAAGACGATCGGAACAAAAATCCATCCAAGGCAGACTCCCTCCGGTATCATTGCAGCGAAGATTTCACCACCCCAACCCATCCAGAGTTGGATGGTGAAATCTGAACACCACACACAGACCAAAAAAACGCAGAAGGTATTAACAAACAAAAAAAAAAACAGGAAAAGAACCAAGTTGCAAGCTGTTCCCCCCTAGGTCAGCGCGCCACAATGCACGCCCCATGAGTGGACACACGCAACACTTAAAGACTGCCGCTTCTCTTTATCACGAGCGCGTTGGCTTACGCGTGCTCCGACACGCTCCAGACGCGGACGACGTTGTCCGTGTAGCCAGAGTACAGGGTGCTGCCGTCCGCGGACCACGCGATCGACACGCACTCGGGGGCCTTCTTGCTCTTCTGCTGGGTCTCAGGCGCAAGCTCAACAATGACGTCCTTGTTCTCCAGATCAAAGATGCGGACGCCCTTCTCCGTGGCCGCGCACATCCAGTAGCGGTTGGGGGAGAAGCAGATCTGGTTGATGGGGGCACCAGCCGCCATCTCAGAGAGGGCCTCACCCTTGGTCAGGTCCCACAGGCGGGCAACGCCGTCCTTGTCGGAGGAGGCGCAAAGCGAGCCGTCGGGGGACACGGTCACAGAGGTGACGTAGTTTGTGTGGCCCTTCAGGTCCGTGACGAGCTTGCCCGTGCCGAGGTCCCACACCTTGACGAGGTTGTCCCAACCACCAGAGACGATGAGGGGCGTGTCGAGGGACGGGGAAAAGCGGACGCAGCTGACCCAGTCGCTGTGGGCACCGCGGCTCAGCGTATGCATGCATTCGCCCTTGACGTTCCACACGCGCAGGGCGTTGTCGCGGCCACCGGACACAATCTGGCGGTTGTCTGGCGAGAAGGTCACGGAGAGGACATCCTTGGTGTGGCCGAGGAACTTGTGCTGGCACTGGCCCGTCTGCAGATTCCACAGACGCAGGGAGCGGTCCCACGAGGAGGAGACGGCGAAGTCACCGTTGTTGGACAGAGCAACATCGGACACAAACCCGCTGTGGCCCTCCAGGCGGCGCTCGGGGAGGCCGTAGTCGCTCTCCTCGCTGTGGCGGTCGGGGTTCGCCCCCCACGAGATGAGCGTGTTGTCACGGGACGTCGACACCGTCTTGATGTACGAGTCGGCGGACTGGGGGCAGGCGAGGGCGGTGACCCACCCGCGGTGGCCCTTGAGCTGTCCTTCGTAGGCGACGGCCATGCTGAATAAAAGAACGGTGTGCTTGTGTGTTGCTTCGGCTTGCTGGCGAAACAGAAACGCAAAAACAACAACGACAACGACAAGAGCAGGAACAAGAAAGCGAAAAGCAAATGACATGGGCAACAGAGAAAATGATACTCTCGTTGCGCCTTGTAAAACCGGCGCTCGAGGGAGGGTGGTGGCACACGGACCAAACAATTAACAAACAAAAAAAAACAGGAAAAGAACCAAGTTGCAAGCTGTTCCCCCCTAGGTCAGCGCGCCACAATGCACGCCCCATGAGTGGACACACNTCCTTCGTAGGCGACGGCCATGCTGAATAAAAGAACGGTGTGCTTGTGTGTTGCTTCGGCTTGCTGGCGAAACAGAAACGCAAAAACAAAAAAAAAACAAGAACAGAAATAAGAAGTCATGGATACACTCGCCGTATGTTTTGGCGCCTTTGTGCGTGTGTGTGTGTGTGTCTGTGTCCAAAATGACCAAACAGTCTCGCCGTGTGGCGCCACTGCTAGAGCGCAGCACTAACTCACACTGTGGTGACAGCGGCGGAGCTCATCCAAAAACGCATCCAATGAGGGCGACCTGAAACACATCGACTCCGCCACGGCGGGAGACATGGCGAATTCGTCAGGCGTCAATGCGGCCACACAGCGACGCACGCGCTCCACCTCATCGTCGCGCAACACACGGGGCGCGGTGCTCCTTGCGGGGGCTTCGCACCCCGCCCTTACTGTCTCTGGGCAGCTCTCCACGTGGTGGGGGTTCATTGTGCCGAAGTGCAGCCCGAGAAGCCCCAGCAGCTCCTGCAAACGCATGTGGTGCATATGCAACTTGTAGCCGAGACGACCCGGCCGTAGCAGCGCAGGGTCGATTCCTTCTGGGTCCCGTGTGGTCATCACGACGATGCGCGAAGGCGTGTCGATCACGCCGTCGAGGACGTTAAGAAGTCCAGATAAACTTACTTTATCAGCTTCCTTTGTTTTCCATATGCCAAGCCGGGTGAGCTTGCATGCATCGCCTTCACCTGCTTCCTCGTCTTGTTTCTCTCCTGCTGCGGAGACACGGCACCGTACCATCTTATCATTGGAGTCCACGTCGTCAAGAAGAAATATGACATCGCTAAAGTTGAATGTGAAGGGCAGACTTTCCCCGAAACACTGGAGCTCTCGCTTAAGGAAGATGTCATGCAGCTGTCGGTTCGACGATATCATATGGAGACGCACGGATATCACATGCCGGCCAGTGTACGAGGCTAGGGCCGCGACGAACGATGTTGTGCCTGACCCGCGCGGACCATGCACGAGGAAGCCGATCTTGTGAGGAAATCCTTCGAGGGCAAAACGACCACGTTTTGCAAGGAAGCGATCAAGCAAGGCGAGTACCTCCTCCTTCTGCGGGAAGAACATGGAGTCAAACGACCTGCTAGAAGGAAGCGGACTTTTCTTAAAGTACAACGACATCCCATTGTTCTGAAGCTGAAAGAAAAGTCGCTCTCTGCCGCCTGATTGCGGCACCACTGTCATGTAGTGGCGCAGCGACTGTTGTACGAACGCCTCCAATCGCTCGGCTCCGCCCACACCGGTTGCCCTCAGATGTAGCATGTGGTTCACCCTCTTCACTTTTTTATCATCCATCCGCCGTCGCTGGTAGGTCAGCTCCACACCATCACCCACCGATAACCACGACCCGGCGGTTGGGAGTCGAACAACGGTGTATCTGTGGAGCTGCTTGCGCTCGTGGAAAGCGCGTTGTTGGACGTTGGCGTGATAGTAGCCGACATACTCAAAACGTTTCGGCCCCAGTACCAGGTGCGAGTCACTCTTAAGGGGATCAAAGAGAAAAAGCACAGATGGTTTGCCACGCCAATCCCTTGCCCACCAGAGGTCCTCCTCTTGTTGCTCCTGCGATTTCCCGGCGCGCTTGACAACGTACAGAAGCACAGAGTTAAGGAGGATGCCGCTATGGTCATTCCCACCGTCCTCATTCCAGCGATAACTAGAAGTTCCACGGTGGAACTGACCTGTAATAGTGCGTACAACCTCCCCTCTGCGTTTCATTTGACGCTTTCTCCAGGACGCCCCAAGCACCAGCCACAGCACTTTAAATACACCAATGACAAGCGGCAGTGCAAGAATGAACAGCACGAGTGGAAGAGGTGCCCGAGTTGACGACTGGTCCCGCAACGGGCCCTCTGCAAGGAGAACGGGGTAAGTGAAGGTACTGCTGCTCCTGCTGCTCATCAGCGCACTTGGCCCGTGAGGCTCGGGGCCAGTATACATTGACTGGCCCACTCCCAGCTTCTGTGTTGTCTATCTGCCTCTTTTCAACACTTACCCAAGAGAAAAAGAAACTCAGCGCCCAATATCAAGGCTCCCGTCACCATTCAGTCAACACTCAACAACCATACACACACACACACACATATATATATATATATATATATGTACGTGCACGCCCATTGTCATTTTCTCATCGCCCTTTTCCCCGTGACACCTGTAGAACTTCCCCTCACGCAATAGGGAAGTAGCACCCATACTCTGGGAGATTAAAACAGAACAATAAAAAAGCATATTTGCCCTCCTGCCATGCTTCCTCCCATCCCTAACAGTCGTGGTTTTGTGTGGTTGGGCAACGCCATCTTCCCCCTGGCATTTCCTCTTCCTCATCGTCCTCGCTCTCTCGCACCCGCTACCCACCCTCGCATCCCAAGTCTATCTACAGCATGGACGCAGTACCTCTAATAGGAGTAACGGGTGCGAGAGGTGGTGTGCCTCCTGTTCTAGAATTCCGTATTGGTACCAAACGCGGCATCATGATAAAAGTGATTGAAGTTAAGCCGTAGAAGGAGAAAGTTTAGGAAATCAAACTGCAGATGCTGCTCCTCCAGTGTGGTGAGAAGAGAGGAAATCTCCCGCTGAAAGTCGTCTGCTAAGCGCTGGTACTCACTCTTGATGGAGAACACATCTCCATGCCCACGCTCGAGCAGCGACGTGAGTAGCGCCTGGGCGCCTACAAACTGACGAACGATACTGAGAACACTCTCTATGTTCTGCCGCATAGAAGCGCAGTCACCGTGGAGGAGCGAGTGGAGCGTCAAGTACTGCAGGTACGCAATGTGTGCGGCGCGAATATCGTCCAGAGAGGTACACTGCCGAAGTGCTCGCATCAGCATATCCCACGACACGGTGGAAACCTCCGCCACGAGATAAGACCAAAGATTGTTAACAAAGTGATTCAGCTGCAGACCAAGGTGGTGGGCATCCGCGGCAACTTCTCGCCACGCAGTGGCTTCTCGGTTCGTGTTATGGAGTCGTCCAATGATGCGGTCCAGAACGACACTCTGGCGCCACGACTTCTTCAGCGCAACTTCAGCGCGCTTGACCTTGAACATGATGCGAAAGAGACGCCGGTAGACCTTCATGGCAGTGACATCAAAGATGTTGTTAAGTGGTGAAGGTACTGCCATTGTCACAACAAAGGCATCCCATCCGATGATTCTATCGTCCTTCACCAACTCGCAGTGCAGCATCGTAAAGAGGTCGGTGTCGAGGTGTTTTGTGTAGGGCACAATGTCAAGCAACGCACCCTGCATATGGTCGCGGACAATGGAGGTTTGTACCATGTGACTTAGCCTACTCAGCACGGGGTCCAGCCTGCTGATGAGGAGCTCGTAGAAATCGCCGTTTCCAACTAGCAAAAAGGCGTTGACCATGCGCAGAACACTATCGAGGTGGAACTCCTCGCGAATAAGCCGAAGCACCGCCGTATTGGTGAACCGCATTGCGTCACGAACGACAGCGCCTATAGTGTCAAATGAGGCGCTCTGTGCTGCAGTCACGATGGCGGGGTCCATGTGCCACTGCTTGCATCTGCAGCAGTTTCTAATGAAGCTAACATTCTTCGTCACCAGCATGATCTGCTCTGCCAAAGAACGCGGAACTGTAGTCGGCAGCATCTCTGGCAGAAGATCAAACCTGGACGACCAGAACGCGTCTGACGTGTCGTCAATCCGGGGGTTACACTTCACGAAGAACTCGTTAAAGGGATCGGAAACGTCACCCTTGGTGATGCTTGACACCGTCATGTGGAGCAGCGGGCTCACCGCTTCCATGTACACATCAGACAACAACGCAGAAATCCTACTGGACCCTTGTTGCACCAGCTGCTGCAACTTCGAAGCGAGTTCACCGCCCTTAACGGACTCTGTCTCACGGAGAATTGTGTAAAGTACACGCAGCTTTGGCTGCACACGCTTGAACGCAACGACCAAATCACTGAACACCATCGGCGGCGAGCGGCGTTCGCGGAACGAGGCCACCAGATAATGGTACTGCGAGAGCTGTCTACGCACAGCGCTCCGAAGGCCTTGCTGGAGAAATGAACGCTCCGCCGTACCGCCCCGGAGCACATCATCAATTTGCCGTGCAAGCCAGCCACATTCCTGCAGGGATGCCGCGGCCTGCCGCTGCCGCACTGTGCCGCACTCCGCGTTCATGACATAGCGCTGCGACACCCCGTCGTACACGAAGAACTTTGTTCTCTCCACCCCCATCCACATGAACATAACATCCGAGATAAATTCGCTTTCCTCCACTGCCTTGCCAGCGCGGCCTTCACCGGAAGCCGTCGCCCCACCAGCGTCAGCAGCAACGCCCTCAGCAGCGTCTGCCATCGGCTTCATCGCGTCACGGTAATGTGGCACCACACCCGCGCCACCCGCCGCTGCTTTTCGCACCGGCACGCCATCTTGGCCTCCACCCACAGCACGATCACGGCGACCAAACAAGCGACCAGGCAGATCAAAGCCGCTGTACACCTTTTCATCGCTGGCCCCGACGGAATTCGGCCTCTCATCCAGCAGGGCCTTCTTTTGTTCATCTAACCGTCCGCCAACATCCGCTACACGATCCAGAGGCACCACGCCACCAACCATACCAGCAGAGGGCAACAGACCACTCGACGTGCGCAACGCAACGCCGCCATCACGCAATTGAGTCGCAGCACGAAAAGGTATTACGCGTTGTACCCCGTCAGTTGCACGGGGTACATCCACTTCAGCTTTATGCCACTTCTGCACTGGTGACGCATCCTTTCCATTTCGGTTCCCACCATCTGACATCGTAATACTACAGCCAATGGCAACTACTTCCAAAACTACACACACCAAAAAAAGTAAAAACCTCCCATCAATACAGCAGCCACAAAAAACACCACTCGCAATAGCTTGAACAATAATAATAACAATAATAATAATAAAAATAATAGGGGAGCAGGGAAATAGTAGCAATGATTATATATCAATAGCAATAGGCGGTAAGAGGGCCGAGGCACTCTCACCGACAAAAAAAAAAAGATGGGCATCCATTACAGAATGAAAGTCCACTCACGTGCCACGTCCACCGGCGTCACGCACGCGCCTCT